TTTGATTCTCCTGTTTGCGGGGCGAGAGCTCAGGACCAGCCCCGTGGACACCTCCCCCGTGGCAGAGAACCCGAGTCCGAGCCTGCAGGTGCGAAGCCAGGATGGAGGACAGAAGGAGGAGAAGGGAGAGGAGGAGGAGGAGGAGTCCGACCTGCCGCCCCAGGAAGCCGTTCCGCTGAGCTCGCAGGAGAACGACCTCCTGTACAGGCCGCCCCTCGACATCGCCCTCATCTTCACCCACGCCAAGGACAACGCGCCCTTCCAGTACAAGCTCCGCGTTGCTGTGGGGTCGCTGCTGCACGCGGCGTCGGCTCCCCTGCGGCTGCACCTCATCACGGACGACGACGGCTTCCACATCGCCTCGCAGATCATCAACGACGTGCAGGCGAGCAGTCAGCTGGACTCCAGATACGTCAAGGTGGGTCCCGACGAGTGTGAGTGAGCGAGGAGGCCTCGGTGGGTGCTGCGTGGTGGGGGGGGGGGGGGGATTCCTGGTGTTGGCATGTTGGGGTGATCATGCTGCGTTTGGAGCTCCTTGCCTTGCTTGTTGAAGACGACTTGTCAGGACAATGAGGCTGTGTTTGGAGCCTTCCGAGCCTTCGCCACCCTTAACAACCGGCTCTGGAGTAAGCATTCGCTAGTTTATAATACCAGTGTTCTTTTTCTACATTACATTTTATAACTACTCTGGTGCATAAGTAACTTATCTGTAACTGTCGGACACGAGAATAACTTTTGATAACAACAATAAAGGGCCATATAATTACCTACCATTATCTTGTGGTTACATACAACTGTAATCGTGCTATGGCTTGGTTTGGTTAGGTTTGTTTAGGTTAGGTAAGGTTCTGTAGCCAGTTAAATAACTGACTAGTGTTTGCAGTTAAAAAAGGGAAATAGTAGGTCTACTAGAAATGCCGTGTACTGTAACAGCATGTGGCATCCCCTGTATATGACATCACAGCCATTGGGCAATCAGAGTGCTTCACGGCAGAATATCGGCACTATATCCCCTCCTTAATTGTGTACATACAAATACTATTGTGACATTATCTTGTCCTGCTCGCCTGGCTTCAAAGGAGTGGGAGAATGACGAGATGAACAACTCACCAAAATCAGGGTTCTGAAGTCAAAATCAGTAATTTTATCTAATAGTTCTGCATAACAAAGCATAATGATTTTAGTATTGTTGGATTCCTCTCACTCTCTAGTTTCCAAATCTAAAAAAATATTGTGTGGAAACACCCCAAACCCCCACATTCTTGGCTCTGATAGCAGGGGAGGGCATGAAAGGTATCAGGGAAATTGCAGGGTAAAAGAGGGATCATATACATAGAATCAGTCACTATTTAGTCAAATGCAGGGGGCTATGCCCCCTGCAATCCTATTTTACTCCGTAATTTCCCAGGTACCTTTCATCGCTTCCCTTGCTATCAGGGCCAAGCTTGTCACTAATGGGGTGGGGGGGTTCTGTGCAATTACCGAAATTGGTGTGATGCAAAGGCATTAAAAAAATGATAAAAATTTCATGTCCATTTTGTCCAACTGGTAGAACGAGGAGTTCCAAATGCAGCAGTAGTGTTGTATCTCAAGGTAGCTAAGTTTGGTATATTGTTGTTGCTTAGCAATTCTTCTGTAAAGGATTTGCTTCTCTTTTGGGTAAATGTTTAGTATTTTTGGAAATGGCTAGACACCAAAAAGGGAAGAATCTTTTCTTTCGAAAGAACATGGTACTCCATGGTACGCCTGCCCAACACTCACTCCATAAGACAAAGAATTCTCCATGTATTCATTGGCACCCCATTGGCAGGTTGGCAGGGGGTATAGCTATCTGTAGTTGACTGTATATAAACCACTTCTATGTATATTTATTTTTACCCTGCATTTTCCCCCTCCTCTGCTATTGGGGCCAAGATTGTGGGTATTAGGGGGATTAACACAGCATACTTTCTATGATTATGATAGAGAGTGAGAGGCATCCATCGATACCACTTTCCGTTGTGTTTGATCATTGAAATTCAAATCAGTTCTGTTCCAGCTAGACAGTGCAAAAGATGTTGGGAAAACTTTTTTCTCCCCTCAAAAATGTAGAAATAACAAAAAGGAGCAGCAGACAATGGTCCCACATCCCAGTAACAGCGGGTAAAATATTTGATAAAGCCGAGGGAGATATATTAGTATATTTTTCATGATAGAACATAACATCCTCTGTTGCTGTGGATTAAAATGTTATGTTTTTAAGATCCGAAAGTTATGGCACAGGGTTAGGCCTAGAATACTTGAGAGAGGCCATTCAGGAAGTGCCAATACTATTTTTTCTAAACAATTGAAAAGTAAAGTGTACAGGTTTACCATTGAAAGAAAATTCATAAAACTTCCTTTGGCAAAGATCTGCATCAACAGAACTAAACATATTTCAGCTGATAGATTTTGTACGAAATGAAATATCCTTTTACAGTACTTTTATTCATCGCCTACATGTAACAACGGCATTAGCCCCAGTAGTGAAGGAGAGCACTGGCTTATATGTTAGCTATTGGTATGTAGATGATATGTATTCAGCACTGGTATTAGTGTGATGACACTGGTTTTCCTTGAAGCACCATGAGCGTCAGCAATTGCAACTAGTACATGGGTCAGTCTTTGCATCTGTCACATACATCACTGGCTTATACTTCATTGGTAGGTTTACCATATGCTGTGTGTGATAGTTGTGTTTATATATATTTAGGGTAACTGCAGGAGCGTGGAAAAGGGATGTTTGTAGACTTGGCAGAGCGGTTTCTCACGTACTGTTGCATACATATTAGTGGTTGGTCTTGGATAAATATGTATTTTGTTTATCTTGATGAAATCTTCCTCTTGTACTCCACATTTCTTTTTGTACACTTCAAACTGCTAAGATTATATAGCACACAAGATTAACATGCCATGGATGCCATAGTGATATTCATTTCTGTACAAGTTATAGTTTGTAATTCATTTAAGAGGTCATTACTTTAATGCGCATCATGTTTAGTATGTATCCACCGACATGGTTTGTTAAAAATGTTGCATTCAGTCCTTAAGACTGAACATAATACGACAGCTGCATGACAAGTATGAGCAAAATTATGCATCATGGGGCCATGTGTCAGCCCGTACCATAACACTGATACACAAATACTTTTATACCCCTTTTTCATCTCTCTTTCATCCGGGCCCCCCAGTTGTATGAAGTTGTTAAAGTTTGTAGATTACAATGTTTTAACTGCTGCAGAACTATTACTGTGGTCTTAATCATCAGTTCTGTACGCCTCTGACCTTTAGACTTCGACCCGGGTAGTTAAGGGAGCAAACAGAAGGTGTCTTGCATCATCTTCCCAAGGCCTAATGTGTGTGGCAGAGTGAAGCATTTATAATACGCACTCAGGTGTTGTCAGTCAAGGATGTTATCATACCCTGCGCACTAATTGACTGTGTGACAGGTGTTCTGAGTTTCCTAACCTGATCTCTATGATACTCAGGGAGTGTGTACAGTATGCATCACTTGTGATTTTTGTTCAATTATATCGCTATTAATTTTTTTCCGAACACCCATACACAAACTCACGCATACTCACACACATGCACACTAATAGATATTTTTGTGATGTTTTGTGCTGTGTACACACACAATTGAGAATGACATTCACCTTATCTTAGTATTTCAAGAGTAATATTGCTAAAAATGATACTAACCAACAATGATGATAATATTAATAATGATGATGATGTTAATAATAGATATAATGATGATGTTAATGTTAATGATAATAATTGTGGTAATGATAATGATAATGATGATAATAGTGATAGTGATAATAGTAGTAATGATAATAATTATAATTGTTATAATAATGATAATGATAATGATAACAATGAAAAAGATCTTTAGTACTCTTTAGTTCTCAGTTTGAATTCCTGATTAGCTCCTAAAGTCCTGTTCATATAAACTTAATTATGGTTTTGATGTACTGTATGTATGGAGTCCTATTTGCCACAGTTGAGCACAAATGGCAGGCTATTTTTCCATGTCTTTTGCACTGTGAATGAGACATTTGTAGTGTTTGCTAATCAAAAGGGTTCTTTTCTGGTAGATTTTCTATAGTAACTCCAGGAATTGAAAGACAAATTAAATGAATTTGCTATATATTATGGTTGTCTCACATAACATAAATATTGTAAATTGCAAGGAAATCACTGTGAAATCACTGACTCTTAGTATCTGGAGTCACACATAGTTGACTGTGAAATGAATTTGTTATAGATTTTAGTTGTCTTACATGACATATATGTTGTATAACAAAGAAATCACTTTGTATTACATTTTATTTGGTCTCAAAATTTTCCCGTCAGTACACTTGGGTAACTTGGTTTTCACACTCGTGCTTCACCGTCTCCCTGCAGCTGGTGTACGTAGCAGCAGAGGACTTCATCCCGGAAATTGAGAGCTCGGTAACTGTCCTGCAGGACTTCTTCACTACAAGGAGGGACGCCTACTACCGAGACGCTCTGTTTTTCTTTTCACTCTTCTTGCACAGACTCCTGCCGGGCTTGGAGCGTATCATGCTCATGGATATAGATATCAAGGTAAGTTGGAAGTGCGTTGTCTTAAATTCAGTGATTATTGTTTTGTTTTACTGCTTTTTGATTATGTTTATGTATTTGGTAGAAAGAAGTTGAATAATGAAAATTTGATATTTATCAGACGTATATGAAAAACTTCCCTTCATAAGATGCAAATCTACATGATAATGTTCATTTACAATGAAGGTGGCAGACTATTTACTTGAAACTGAGAGCAGTTAATCCCTTTCTGTTTGCATCTAGTGCTTGTGTGGGTGTTTTGGAGTACCTTGTGTGGTATCTGTCGTAAAGGTTTATTTTAGTTGGATCTTGTTTTCCTTTATTTCTAGTATTTATCCTTTGTTTCTTTTATCACTTCCTTTGTACCTGTATTCTTATGCAGTATTTTATAACTCCAGCATTGTTGTCTGTCATATGTCTTTCAGTAGACATATCCTTTATCTTATTTTGGTTTCCGTTTCACATTTGTCCCTGCAAAAAAAGACCAGAAAAAGACAATTTTCACTTTTGCTCTGAGCGTAGATGCTTTTAGAAAAGAAAAACATAAGTTTGGTAGCTTTTCTTGTTTGATTTTTTTTTTATTTCCCCATTTCCTTAAAAAAAAATGTTGATTTCTCTTCTCACTCCCCCTCCTCTTTCTCCCTCTGGAATCCGTCTCCCTTTCTTTCTCACAGTCAATTGCTCTTTCTCTTTATCCCTCTCTCTCTTCTCTCCCTCTCTTCCTCACTCTCTCTCCTTCCCTGCTACCCTTCTTTCCTCCCTCTTTCCTTTCCTTCTCTCCCTCTCTCCCTCTCTCCCTCCTTCCCTCCCTCACACTCTCTCTCACTTACTCATATATATATATTTATTATTTTATTATTTTATTTTTATTTATTTATTTTTTTACATATACACACCCATACTCTTTCAATCTGAGCACACACAATCAAGAGTTCATTCCCTTTTAATTGCAGGTGAAGGGAGACATAGCTGAGCTCTACTCCCACTTCGAGCGCTTCAGCCCAACCAACGTAATGGGGATGTCCCTAGAGCAGTCTCCCGTGTACCTCCACCTCCTCTCGCTCTATCGCCGCAGCAACCCTAAGACATCGTTGGGTAGTCCACCGGGACAGGGGGGCTTCCCAGGCTACAACAGCGGCATCGTTCTTGTGGACATCGAGAGGCTCAGGAACTCCAAGATCATTAGTACGTGTTGTGTGTGTTATTTGCTGTTGTTATATATTGTTTGTTATTGTGTTATTTTTTATTTGTTTTTTGTTTTTATGTTTTTTCCTGTTTTTATACGTTTATTCTTTTCTCTTTTTGTTTGTTATTGTAGTGGTTAAAAGGATTTCAGTTTCTTTTTTCAGCAGAGTGTACATCATAATCTCACATGTAAAATCATTTTCATCAAACTTTTTCATCCTCTGCCTCTTCTTCCTCTTCTTCATCTTCTCCGTCTTTTTCCTCTTCTTTTCCTCCTCCTCCTCCTTCTTCTCCTACTCCTGCTGTTCCTCTTCCTCCTTTTTATTCCTCTTCCATTTTTCCTTGTCTTCCTCATTTTCCTCTTCTTCCTCATTTTCTTCCTCTGCTGCCTCCTCCCTCCTCCTCCTCCTCCTCCTCCCTCCTCCTCCTTCCTCCTCCTATTTCTCTTTGACCTCTTTCCCCTTGTCTTCTCTCTTTCTAGAATTAACCTTAACCTATATTCAAATACTCTTTTCATGAACTTTAAATGAATGTTGTAATAGTTCATTGCCAATTGTTCATTCATACTGGATAGGGAAATGAATGATTGATGGTGGTATTTGATCCTTTCAATTTGGAGAGATCTAAGTCCATTTGTTAAGTAAGCATGAATGGGGCTGGCAATATCTTCTAATGCTTGAGAGTAAAGCATTGGTGTCGGTTGCCGTATCATAAAATCTGTTCTTGAAACTATCATCCTTAGTGCTCATTTGTTGAAAATGCGTGAAGAATGTTTGCTTTTTTCTGTATACTTTTTCACAGTTGCTTATTTTACAGTTATTGCATTATTATTTTCTTTCTTTCTTTCTTTTCATAAGTAGTGCAAAAAGTAACAGAACTGTGTGTTTGCATTGCTAATGATCCTCATATTCAAATGGATTGCCATATATTTCAATTTTAAACTACCTCAAGTGGCTCTGGAGGATCTCTGACAGTTTGTCTCCCTTTTGCAGGTAGATACTTGTCTCGATCAACACTCACAGAGAAGACAAAGCAGTATAGCTTCCAGGGCCATTTGGGAGATCAGGACCTGTACACCCTTATAGCCTTCGACCACCCTGAACTCTTCTACACACTCCCCTGTGGCTGGAACAGACAGCTGTGCGAGTGGTGGAGGGGCCATGGGTACCAGACAGTGTTCGACCAGTATTTCAACTGCACGGGCGAGCTCAAGATCATACACGGGAACTGCAAAACGGAAATACCAGAAAATTTGTGATATTGTCCATGCCCTCCACTGGTATGGGACCAGCATTGTTGTCAGTCGTTAGCTTTTACATACCTCAGCAAAGAAAATTGGGTAAAACATTCCTCTCATAAGTTATTGATGTAAAACCTTCATATTGGAAAACCTAACCAAATGTGTAGGCAGTCCTTCCACAATAGCTTAAATGTTTTTTATATAATCTTTCTTAAAAAAACAAAACATATAAACACAACAAAGGTAAGAGAGCCAGTCCTCCGTTAGTAGCTTTCTGCTGTGATAATTCTTAGTTCCCTGCCTGTGCTGTGATCTCTGGTAAAGGAAGACGGTAAAGATCTTTTTTATATATCATGTTGATTGGTAATGAAACTAAGGACATACTAAAGAATGTGGCATTAATAATAGGTGTGAGCTGTGGATAGGTAAGCAATTGGGTTTGCTTTTTTGTTATTCTGAAAGTTATATATATATATATATATATATATATATATATATATATATATATATATATATATATATATATATATATATATATATATATATATATATATATATATATATATATATACTTTGAAGATTCTGTGGCAAAAGCAATTTTTACCTCAATTTTGTACAATTTGAAATAACAGTTGGTTGCTAAGTAGGCACTAAATAGTAATATGAGGAGGTGTAGACAAAAGTTTTGATATTTTTATTTTCATTGTCATTGTAGTTAAACATTACTGGGCATAGAAAAGTGTAATTTTGAGCACATACTTTTCTAATTTTAAAAAATGCCATTTGTAATATTTAAAGGCTGTGAGTTGTGTTCAAGGCAGTGAAAAATCTAACAGGAAACAAGTAAAAGGTCGGTTCGTATGTCAGTTACTCTTTAGTCAGTTTTTCCTTGTTTAGTTATCTGGTTGCTTGTTTACTTAACTTTATTTATTTATGTGCATTTGTGTGGATGCATACACCCATGATCTTTTGTGTGTGTGTGAATTAGAAAGAGTGTGAGAGAGAGTATGTAAGAGAGAAAGATAGTGAAACAGAAAGTGTGTGAGAGAGAGAGAGAGAGAGAGAATGTGTGTGAGAGTGAGATAGTATGTGTGTGAGAGTGAGATAGTGTATGTGTGAGAGTGAGATGTGTAAGAGAGAGAGAGAGTGCCGAAGACCTGTGACTCTGCATACATGTATGTTTATACAGGAGAACCTAAAGCATGACTAAGGTTAGTAAAGAAGGTAAGATATGTAAGAGAGTGCATTGCAGTTGTTTTTAGAAGTGCAGTTTATCATTAAAGCTTCCTTGTTCACCAACAGTTGTTATCATGTACACATACACTATATGTTTATGGTAGGTTAAATATGTTCATGCATATATGAATCTATGCATAATATTTGTGTAATAGTAGTTTCCAACTTGTTTTGTGGGACTTTAAAAGAAATGAGGGTGCAGAGGTACACGTAAATGAGAACATATATATCTTTATGTGATTGCATGTGTAGAGATAGGTGAACACTTAGACCTCAGTGAATGCATATATATATATATATGTGTGTGTGTGTGTGAACATATAGGTAAACATATATGAATACATTTAAAGACATAATGCAAAGTTGTATGCATTCAGATTCAAAAGTGTACAGGTATGTACATATTGACATTCATACACATGTATACATGCAATTCCATGCACACACACATGCATATGCATATGTGCATGTGACTTACTTGGCCTGTAAATTAATAATATTTTTAAAAGTAGACAGTGTGTTATGTATTTTTTCTAAGTGAAAATTTTGAGAACAAGATGATAATAGAAAGAAACATGAATATGTACAAATTTTTGTATGTAAAACAAAGCTTTGCATAATCTTAGGTGTTGATTTATGCATATCCGTTTGACTGTGTTGTGCAGGCAGTTGTCTTTTATATGTGGAAGTTAAATCTCATGAGTTTGTGAAATGATAATGGTAGATTGCAACTGGCAAAGAAAAAGCACATCGAAAAAAGTTATCTCTGAACAAATAGCTAAAATACAGTAGCCCTCTGTTCCTCCTCTCAAATTAGCATTCAAACAAGAATGAAGAGTCAGGATTTTGGTATGCCAGTAGAATCTGAGGAATGATATTTTTAGTAGTGTGGATAGTAGAGCATTTTTTTTTTTTTTTTTTCTACTAGAGATCTATTTCTCTTAAGCACTTTTAATTATTTGTTTGTTTCATGTTTCGTGCAGGTCAGTACGAAATAAATCTTGTGCCGTTTACTTTTTTGTTGACAGTAAGTTCCTGTCTATGTTGACCTAGTTGTCCATGGATACTTTTGATATTTCCTATAAAGTGTGAGGATGTTTCTTTGTCAGAATAAGTTGCCGTTGGGGCTCATGCCACTTAGTTTGGAATATATTTTACCGGTAATGTGGGTGACAGATATTGAATCATGATATACTGTGCTGTATTAATATATACATATATGTATATGTGTGTGAGTATATATATTTGTAATTTTTTATACCAGTCAGTGAACTTGTCAAAATTATCTGCCATTGGATGAAATTACATGATGGATTGTATGTTGCTCATATCCGGAGTACTGAGAATCTAAACTCAGTTGTATCATTTCATTTGAAATATAGTTTCTAAATGTTACTGGAAGTACAGAAGTAATAGCAATTTCTCTGATAGAATGATCATTAGTATTTCGATTTTATCTGGTGAAGTTTGTTTTCATGTTATCTCTATTTAGCCTGTTTATCTTCTCAGTGTCAAGGTTTATCTCCTGTTACTAAGGGCTAGGGATATTCGAAGATCATAGGAAATTCTCAACTTGTTAATGATAATTCTCCTGTGTAATAAATACCTAAATTCTCTTAATTTTCTTAGCACCAGTCCGTGAATTTGTCAGAACTATCTGGTATGGAATGAAATCATGTAGTGGAATGCACTACTGATTTTGTGAATACTGTGGCAGTTTTGAGAATTTCAGTTGAAATATTGTGTCAGTTATTATGGGAATTATTGAAGTGAAAGCAATTCTCACATAATCAAACCTCATTGAGAAAAAGATCAGTAATTTTTTTTTTTTTTTTTTTTTTTCTTAAAAAAATAGTATTATTTTATATACTCTTTTATTTCATTGTTTACTAAAGTATAAACATGTTTCAGTCTTATGATTCTCATAGAAATACTTTTTTTTAATGTTATTCCTATGCTACATACTTTTTTTGCTGAGTGATATAGATTTTTCAGTGCTAGTGTTGAATAATTTTAGTGCTGATTTAGAACTCTGAACAGTTTGTTTATCAGTGCATAATATCAGGTGGTGGAATTTATATATACATATAATAAATATAGGGAAAATATTTCTAGATATACAGTATCTACTTAGAATATGCATGCGTTAACCATTTCGGAAGAGGCATTCTGGCCTTAATAAAGGTAAGTTAATAATAGCACAGATATTGATGGTCAGGATCAAAGGCAAGAGATCAAAGAGAGAGAGCCGTTGTTTGCAAAAATAATAATTTATTGGTGAAGCCGACAGAGGCCTTCTCTTTCGCCTCCACTTCCTCCCTTCAAGATTCGAGGGAGGCAATTTGGTGGGTTGCTGGGCGAGTGTAGCCTTGTTTGCCCAGTTTAATTGAGGATGAATGCACCTCCTGTAAAACTGGTCACGTTAAAGAGAATGTAGGATATTATCGATAAATGGAGGTTCCAGTGCTTTGGTGGATAAGTCGAAGGAATGTGAAGGTATCGAGAGGTTTCCAGAAATATTTTATAAGGAGTTGTGAATATTTTTATTCGTGCTAAAAGTGAGTATTGGTGAAAAACATTAGGTATTTGCTTAAACACATCCTAAAGCATATTTTTGAGAATTTGTTCAAAGTTTGTGAAATTGAGTTTATATAGATATACACATCTATTTTTTTCTTTTGTAACAAAGAATAATGATTAAATGCAAGTGTGAAGACTTAATATGAAACATTTGATAATGTATTGCTATATATTAATCCAAGATTGTTTTTGTAACACATGGACCATAACAGATTATATACAAGTTTCTTGCCAGTATCTGTCACATGATAAAAGAAATAAAAAAATGTATTTCTCAGTTATTGGTAACTCCTTGGACTGTTCAGCAAAAGAACAGTTCTTGGCGGTAAATCCAACTAGTCAAGGTAGCTTTAGTCTTCCCTACTTTCAACTAGTTCGTGTCCGATGGCGCCGGGAAGCAACAAAGGAATTAAATTATTTATGATATTTCTGTGGTTTTAATATGTATCCTCCTCTTTTTATTTTTAAGGTTGAATATTAAGAACAGAGAAAGGTATGTTTGTGTCTGTGTCTCAATCTCTGTCTATGAATATCCATATGTATGTTCATATACATATATGTATGTGTGTTTGTGTATGTGTATATATACAGTATGTGTATATATAAGTGATAAAATGTGTGTCAGTCAGAGAGAGAGAGAGTGAATGTGTGTGAGTGAGTGTGTGCATGCGTGCGTGAGTGAGTGTGTGAGAGATATGTGTATATGTATGTGATATATAAAGTATGTATGTATATGTATGTGTGTACGTGTGACTGAATTCCCGCGCCACTGATAGGCAAGTGAATTTATTTGATATACTTCATCAAAAGACCGACGGATCATCAATAAATTTATCTAGAAATATGCTGAGTGTAATTTCAAGATCAAAGGGGTGCAATAAACATTTTTTTTTATGCTGTAACTTTTGAATTGTCAGTTTCAGTTGCATAAAGTACATGCTGACCTATACACACGCACGTATACACGGACACACATACATACATGCATATATATATATATATATATATATATATATATATATATATATATATATATATATATATAATAATAATAATAATAATAATAATAATAATAACACGCACACGTTTTTTTTCTCAAGATGGATTCAAATACCTTTAAAGAGATTTGCAAAAGCGAGACAAATCTTACAGGAAATACTCTGTTTACTGTGTTTAATCACAATACAAAGGCTGCAGTTTTATCGGGTTCATTCTCGTACAATTTAAATTCTGACCAGAAAACAACAGCGCTTTCAGGACTTGGACCCAGGGATGATAAAAAAAAATATATAATTCCTCTCATTTTTCTTCTGTTTCGCCTTGCACGTGTGGTAATGAGATTTTTTTGCTTTGGCTCGTTTGTTTGATAGAGGATCGAGTGAAATAACAAGACCATTAAATACATTTTGCATTGAAAGTCGTTGTTCGTTGTCCGCTCGAGATCGTTCCTTTCCGAGTTGAAATGGTCGCAAATAACATTCATAACTCCTGTGCTAATTTAAAATTCATAACAAACACACACACACACACACACACAGTTCCATTTGTGTACAGAAGTGTAAAAAGGATTTTGTATGTATAAATACTTTGTATTTTTTATTAATATTTTAATGAGCCCATTATAATCAATAATCAATTACAAATCAACAGC